CTGGGTTCACAGGAGAGGTACTTAGCCCGTGTGAGAATCACAGGGAAAGTTTGTTTGTTTAACACCACTCACTCAGTGTGTAGCTTACACACTTGCCTTGGTCAGTTCTTCTACTGGACGGCTGAGTGATATTAGAACCTGACTGGTGATAAAAAAAGATTTGCTTGTATACCTATCGATATAATAATGCAGCATCTTTCTGCTATATTTCATAACTATGAAAATACTCCATATATTAATTCTTTTTACATCTTTTTATTCCAATTCATTTTCAGATAACCTTACTTAATCTACACTTTTTCTCTTTCTTATGTCTTTGATCTTTTCATAGCATTTACAAACATCCACTATTTTTTAAAAATAAAACATATTAAGCAAACTGCCTGCTGATATCCCTATATTAATGACTAATCATCAATATTTCTAGGTGTGAATTACTGGTTGGATTGATATCAATTATCCAAATAAAGTATACATTACATAATGCCAGAGACAATATATCAACAGCTAATAAAATGACTGATTCCCATGAGCATCTTGGAATTAAATCAAAAATTATTATCAAATTCCACAACCACCTGCTGCAAAGAGGAAATAAGTTTGACTGATCGCTTTCCAGTGTGTGTGTGAGAGAGAGAGAGAGAGAGAGAGAAAGAGAGAAAAAGAGAGTGTGTGTGTGTATGTGTGTGCCTGCTTAGTTATATGCAAGTGAGCACACACTGATGCCTTATTACAAAGGATGGGTCAGTCAGTTATAATTGAGAAAACTCTTTCAGTAAGGTTCACACACAATGAACTGAAATTTTCAATTAACAAACATATCTTTCCAGAAATTAATTTCAAGTCACATATCTACCTTTAAATCACAGAACAAAATTACCCTGAGTTTCAGAGCTTACTGTAAACTCATCTTTATTATTAGCATATCTCTACTGTTATTGGAAATGATAAAATTAATTTCCAGTAATTGCTGACACTAGTGGTGAACAGTATTGGCAACAACATCACATTAAGCACACTTCAACTGCATTCTACCTGTGTAAATCCACTCCTATCATCTCTTATGCCTTCTCTACTCAAGGGGGATAAACCCCTCACATTCATACCTAGAATTGAATGATATTTTCACAATAAGTAGCAAATACCTCTGTCAGTTATGTAACTCTTTCTGCTTAGAACCACTTAGTCATGGGATATCCTTGTGAATGTCCATAATTTTCTGTAATAGTACGATATGGGGAATATAGGAACTACTAGATGGAAACACTTAGAGCTTGTGAATGAATAGACAATTCAAATACATTATTTGAGCTGCCATATATGATAGGTGACCAACAAATAGGCAAGGCTGATGTAAAATCAATTTAAAAATAAGCAAGGATAAAATTCTATGAAGAGTTGTGGAGAGAGAATATGTAATCGAAACTGGAAAGATTGTGGACTGTAGTAAAATCAAAGCCAAGAAAATGACACAAACTAGTGAGGATTCACAAGTCATGTATGACTATATCCACAGAAATAAAAAAAAACACCAGCATTCAGGTCTTAGGTGACTTTTTAAAGAAACTGGCCTCCATAAACTTACATATGCATCACTTCTGACAGCACTGAACAAATCAAATGAGCATCTTATTTTCAAACAACCTCAACTTCCAAACAACAGCAGAAAATGCAAGATATTTTTAAAGAAATGAGTACTATAGATCTATAACGATCTTAAAGTATCAGTGTCATATAAAATTCTAACAATTCGACATTCAAATCAGAGTCTAAGACACCATGAGAAAAGAGGTGAGGTTCCGGTGTGAGCTATAAACATCAGGGTGAAACCTACCCTACATTTCCAGACCCTGAACCTTCGATTTCAGAAAGGGGATCTTTTTCTAAAAAGAGGTCAACCCCCCCCCCCCCTTGCTCCCTTAATGCAATTTGAAAAATGACAAAGATCCTTCCAGGGTATATCAAAATTTGATTCAAAAGACTCAGGCCTTTCAAATATACCCCCCCCCCCCCCCATTTCCTTTGACCTGACTTAAAATCTGCCTGTTGAGTGTCATAGCAGATAAATAAGTCAACCTCCAGCTAACAATGCCTGAAATATTCCCAGTCTGATGTTTGTGATGACAAATTACCAAGTCCCCCACCTGGTATTACCTGAGGTGGGTTCACTTTTGCGACCATGTAAGGGTGCTCTATTTTGTCCATTAAAGCCCATTTACACTTTTTAAAATGGATCAATGCAACTGGCTCAAACGAAAAAAAATGCAAAGGCGTGAGTGTGTGAGAGAGATAGAGAGAGAAAGAAGCAAAAGAAAAAAGAGAGAGGAGTGGGAGGAAGGGATCAGAAGCATAGCTTTATAGCCACCAGGGGCGTAACCAGACCTTTTAAAATTGTACGCACAGATTTTGAAAATTCCCAGGTACGATTATAAATTATATAAAAATACACTGAATTTATGGAGAATAATATCATGGTTGGCTCAAAAAATTGTATGCACAGTGCATCCGTGCGTATGCCTGGTTACGCAACTGGCCACTCATACAGCAAGTTAAAGTAGCAGACACTTGATTGCAATTAAAATGGCTGCCTCCTGAATTAGATCTACTGTAGCTGTTGTAGTAAAAAGGGATGCAAAAGAAGACTTGATGTTCCACAGATCTGAGCATATCACAAGCATTTGATTTTTTTCTTTTTTTGCATCCTTTCAACAAGCCCACAGGTGTGTGTTTACATTAAATGACAACATGTTTACATGCATATCAGAGGTCGTATTTCCAGTCAGGCAATGATGGCATAACTTAGGCAGTACCATCTCAGCAGATCATGTGGCTGTAAGTTCCAACCAGAGGAAGACACATCAAGAATGACTTACCTCTATGGCAATGGGACAACAACAAAACTAGATAAGTTTAACAATGATCAGACGTAATCACAGTCTGCTGAGACAGCATGTTCTAAGTTAAGCTGTAACAACATCACTAGAAATTGACCTTAAACAAATTCCCAATACATTATCTGTATAAAGAAGACACAAATAAAAATTGTCATTATTTATCTTGAAATGTACATCCATCTTTACTATATTTCCATTTTTTTTCTAGCCCATTAAACTTTTTTTTCTAACTGCTGTTTACATTTACCAGGTGTTCATGATTCTTGAGGAAGATAAGTATAATGGAATTTAATGGTAGTGTACATGAGGAGTCATGTCTGTGTATATGCAGTTGATTCCCAGTGCAAAGACCACCAGAGTTCCGTAACTGGAAAGCATTGCGAATTGCGACATCAAGATAAACTTTTTCTCGACGCTACATGGAGTGAGTAAATGCCGAGTTATGGAATAGAGACACTTGCGCTAGGTCGCAATTCGCGATGCTTTTGAGTTACAGAGCCCAGACCAACCCAAGTATCAAGTTATATTTGAAGACTAATGAAGATGCATTTAATTGTCATAAAATCAACAAAAAAATAGTGCGGTAGTCCGTACAAAACTAGAATCTTCCTTGATGGAAGTTTATTATTGTTTCTGCATTCACAGCAAGAGCTGTACTCTGATATATGCATAACTTCATGCTGTATGTATTAACCTACAGGATAACATGGTTGCATAAGTCAAAGATAAAAACAGCACATTCTTTGTAATTGTTCTTTAACATTCATTTCAGGACAATGGCTTTAGGCAAGTATGTAACTTATAACCCGGCAGAGCTGAAACTATTCTGCACAATGTAAAATTTGTTCTTCTTGATGACAATTGCATTCTGGTTACACAATAATACAGATGCGTTGTAACATTTAACTTGTCAGTTGTTTGTGGAAAAATTCTTTTTAAATTTGCTGTCCTGGCTCTCTTTATAAATTCACAGTCTGCTACTATAGGCAGTCAACACACAGTTACAATGTAGTCAATGTAGCACAAAGTGTATTATACCAGCTCTACACAGGCACTGCTTGTATACAGCCCTGATAACATCTCCCTCCCTCCCCCTGCCCTTCTTTTACCCTCCCTCCACTATTCACAATTCTCATTATATCCATCATCAAGAGAACCCAACTCCTGGGTGGCAGTACATTGTAGCAGTTCTCATTCAGCAACATTAAAGAAAAAAGTTTCCTGTTCATTCTTATAGAATGTGGTGGCTGTGTATTGAAATAAACAGTATAACAGTGGTACATGTATTTAAGTACACTGACAAGGGGTTGTGATTTCATTTGCCTGTTTATACAGGCCTATTGGGCTTGGGCACTGATGCTGAAATAAAAGGCCCTTACAGGAACAGGCTGCAGCTTTTAAGGTCCTGTTAATGTCTTTCAGATCTGATTAACTGTTAAAGATGTGTGCCAATGTGTGGTACACAGGTAAATTGTTAATGTTGGACACATTGTGTCGATACACCTAGCTGACATTCCGTCATGTTCACAAACCATGCAGTTCCACGACACTCCATATATAACTCCCTACTCATCACAATACATAAACAACAGACCACATAAATGATATACTGTATGTGCAATATATTACACAAATGCCAGACTCATATTGTCATTTTTAATTTTTCCCACAAGCTAAAGAAAATTGCCTTTGATAAACGATTGATGAGTATATATTTAGCAATATTAATGATATTGAACATGGTGGGAGAAGGGTTAATATTTGCAAAGCAATTTTTTTCTTTTATTTGACTTTATATTGGCAGTGGGTGTCTGATGAGGGGGAACAAGTGGGAATTTATCTTTTAAAGGAAAATATGTAACAAAAGGAATATAATTTCACAAGAAAAAAAATTGACGCACCAGCAATATGTGTTTTCAAGTTGCTCCACCACTGTATATTATCTGTAGTGGTATTGTTAATCTGTCCCCTGTCAACCCTCCAAATCCCCCCCCCCCCCCCCACACACACCACACACACACAACACCATCTACACAAGCAATCCATTTGACACCTAGGTCTACTTTTCAATCTCCATTATAATCACACTCTCATCCCTTCACCTACCTTTGACAACCGCGTCAGCATGGTCGATGTTATTCAAAGTAATCCGCATGACGCTGGAGTTCAGCTTCAGCTTTCCATGCCCGTTCTCTGACAGCAGAAATATCCGAGTGTCATATTTGTGAACCATGCTCTCGCAAAGGTCCGGATCCCCAATGCCATCTACCATTACCATCTCGTGCTTTCGATCGGCGGCGGGGAATGTTTTGATCATGTTTTGCCCCTTCATCACTCGCTTGATTTCCACCTCCCCCATGTACATTTCAGGGTTGTCGGAATGAGGGAAGAGTTCTCGCACCGTGCCCGTCATGACAACGTTCGCCTCCTCTTCTCTCTCTTCTAGACTTTTACCTAAGTCTTTACAACGTTTGGAGTGTACAAACGAAAGTGGACTTACTATCAGAAATGATAAACAAAACAACGGTAATAGTTCCAACCGCATCGTGATGCCGTATGCAGTACGACTAATTTGTTGTTACCGGCTGGAATCCTTCGCGAGGAGGTATCGCACAGGTGGTTCCACGAGGTATTCCCTGCGAATATCGACTCAAATAAGTCCCACAGTTTAACACCGAATCTCTCTGACTTTTCTTCCAGCCTTGTTTACTGCGTCTAGAGCGTCAGATATGTGATCCACAGTGATATATAGCCTGGTTTCCTCTCGAAATGCAGAGGTCTCTCCCTCTCTTCTCATTCACTCGCCGGTTACGGCACAGCTGATTTTAGTGCGTTTCCGGAAGTCGTCGAGGGTTGCCGGAAACATGCGGAAATTCTAGATAACGATTGGCTGAAAGTTTTGTAATGCAGATGGTTTGAGTTGACATAGACAATTATTTACAGATCTTCTCCTGTTTTTGTTTAGATAGCTGCACACGGACGAAGAGAAATGCTATGTATGTGCATTCAGGAGTAGATTGTTACATCCATGGCTTTACCTTCCGTTATATGTCAGTAATCATTACACTCCACAAATATTCAACGAAGTTCTGACATTTATTGGTGATAAATGGGATAATTAGAAAAGCAATTAGTTTCACAATAATGTTAGATGCATGATGATATGCAGTTATTTACTCTTCTATGAAAAGTTCATGTTTCCGAAAGCTATAAAAAGTTGCTTCAGTAGGCCTATATTTTTCTTCTTTTCGTTTGACCTTCGTTTGTTTGTTATATTTTCTATTATGACTATATGAGTTTCATCAAAATGTGGTTTCTCTTTACGTAAATAATAAGTCACTGCACCAAGTGTAAAAAAAAAGTTTTCTGAATGTTGATTTCGACAATTGGCCTTGTCGGGCTAGTTAAAATCTAAATTGTGTTAGTTGTGATCGTCTTTGGTCTTTTTTCAACTATCGCATTCAAAGAAAACCTCCTTAGTAGGGACATTGATAGTGACGTTATTTTAACAAATGGCACATAAATATGGTAAATATAACACGCATGCTATTTCACTGGTGGATACAAGATTTGGATACGGGGGTGGGGTTGGATGTGAAGAACAAAATAAGAACACTTTTGTCTCTCTTTACTCTATAAATATAAGACGTAATCGGGGACTGTTTTACAGATATATACAATGTATACTAGCTAACATACTGTAAAATACAAATATGGAAAAGTTGCTACTGTTATCCTCTGCATTCTTCACTCACGCACTTGTGGATTTTTTTTACATTTTATTATTATATTTTTCATGCTACTAGCACTTTGTCGGCATTGAGCAATGGTCACGAATGAGGTGCTACTGACTGCGCTTAAGCCTAGTAAAACGCTTTCAATATTTCACTGAACATCGTTCAACACTCAGTGAAGGGAAATATTGAGAGCGTTTTAAAACCCTGTTGTGTGAACGATGCTCAGTAAAATATTGAGAGCTTTTTAACTGGGGACGCATGAACTGCACATTTACCTATTTGGGGGCCATTTAATACGTGATTTACACGCAAAATCTATTTTCCTAAAAAGAGAAAAAAAGCAAAACCCCAACTTACAATCTTGGTCTGTCTCTGCACTTGTTTTCCATGTTTATTTCCCTGTTTCTTCTCAAATAACTTAGTTTTGAAAGAGACGATTCTTGGACAGAGCGACACCGACGATAACATTTGGCCGAATACTGGAATCATATACAAAAATGCTTTGCGTACATTAAAGACTGGCGTAATCTTTCACCTGGTGGTATAAAAGTTCAGTACATGTGTAAAAATAAATAAATAAATAAATAAATAAATAAAATAAATAAAATAAAATAAAATAAAATAAAATAAAATAAAATAAAATTGTATATGCTATGATATCGCCGCAAGACTCGCGTTTTTCGCGCGAACTATAGTAAGCTGAGATCACGTAAGAGCTGTAGTTTTAATTTAACATTATGATTTTTCTGAATTATTTATTCAGACCGAGATATGAGCTGGAGAATAAGCCCTAGCATTTTCAACCCAAACGCTTGTATACCGCGAGGTAGAGTTCTGGGCCCCGTATCTCGAAAGCTTCGCTTAAGGCGAGCGGGAGCAAGCATGGCGATTCCTCGCTATCCCATATCTCGAAAGCTTCGCAAATCGCGACCGTGCGCTAATAACGAAATCACCATTAGTTTTGAGGCTATTTATTGCTATCTGATATATGTACAAAGAACGGTGACTTGTAGGCCCATGAGGCCGGGTGATGTAGGCCCTACTCATATCATATGTCACGTTAATAAATAAATAATATTTGCGGCGATACAAACTAGTCGCAGTGGCCTCTGCGTATGCATAATAAGCCATTTTAATGTGTCTTTCATGTAATTACACGTGGCGGCATGTTTGGGTTGCTAGTCATAATAGCACATTACAAAACATATAACAAAAACATGGAAGCTTATAATAGAGTGAATCACTCGGTACCTCTTATAGAAAAACTTGCGGAAAATATCCACGTGATGAATGCTAAAGTCATCTTTTATTATGCACAAAAATTTCAAAATTAAACATTTCATACATCATTTTAAATTTTCTTACGAATATAATTCATCTGCGTGGTCTATTGATAATAATCATAAATTTAAAAGTGTCATTTTCCACACAAAATGAAAAAGCAGACTGTCTGCAGAAACAAAGCATTCGGTCGCACCGTGACCTTCCTCAATGTCTATTATTGTGATCAGTCATGTGTCAGTAATTGTGTCAGTCCAAGCTTCGCTTATTGAATTGTTTTTTTTTCTCTTTCGAGATACGGGGTGTTGGATCCATGTACGCACTTTCAAAGCCGGCATGGTGACTCACACAGCTTTTGGCTTCGACAATGCATTGACTTAACGCGAGCCAATCAGAGGCCGTTAAATATTAATCCAGGTGGGCATGCGAATTATACTTCTTGAAAGTTCTATCACAACATTGACCATCGGAAATTTAGGACAATATCTTTCTGTGGAATTTGTGTACGTGGACTGTCATTTATAAACAACGAGCGGTGAATAACGAAGTAGGAGATCCGGCGAAACTTTAACAATTCTACAGGTGAGGCGAATACTTTTTCACCCATAAACGAATATATAAATAATCAATATGGATGTAATATTTTTTTTTTCTAAAATGGCCGGTGAGGCGTGGTTGGTGATGAGCAAGGCTTTTTCCAGTGTGGTACACAGTTCTATGGCCTCTTAGACCACCTACCCTCTACCTGGGCGACAAATTGATTTTTTTTTCACAAGATATTTACAGATATGTCTTTTTGATATGGCTTTTTGAAATTTTACCTATAATATATCTGCCACCCTGGTAGAGGGTACAGACTAGCCAGGCAGCAGAGTTCTGATCTGCCGCTACGGGGACTTAAAACAAACCGGGTGTCTGAGTATTTTAAGGGAGATGCGTCTCTGGGTGATCTGGTCCCGATTTTTTAAAATATGTAGCCTGAGTTTGGAATCGAAACTTTGTGCATGTTAGCAATTACACAAGTTAAAATTCACCACTAATGCTTGCACACATAAGAGGTCTTTATATGTGTTTTATATGATTCTCACTTAAGTCACCCTGAGCTTCAGAGATAACTTGACACCTCTTCACAATAGCTTATCTTCATCGTGTCTCGATGAAGATCGATAGGCCATAGTGAAGAGGTTAGTGTCAAGTTATCTCTGAAGCCTAGGGTGACTTAAGTCCGTGTAAACACGATTTTTTTCACGCATATCCCATATAAGACACCCGCATTATTATATTTCCCATTAGTAACCAAGCATACCACCAGTATTTCAGCGTAAGATAATGTCCCCCACTCTGCATTTGATATGAATACAAAAAGAACGTATAGAAAGTATCATGATCTGTATGATAGATACGATACATGATACGACTAAATATTACGTGTGTATTGTCAAGCCGCAAGTACGTCACTGCCCTTGCGATATTTTACTCATACAACTTTACGGCTTACTCTTTTCCTGGGGCCAGCTGAGTGGTGAAAAATTAATTCCAAGCAAAATAAGTGCTGGAGAAAAGAAAAATTGGCAAGAAAAATCCAGGTGCGTATCTTTGAATTTTAGGTTAAAAATCTATCTGTGAGTCCCGGTAGAGAGGCGGCCACGATAAATTACTCTAGTTAAGATACACTGTTCAATTGACCGTTAACTAGTGTCTAAGACCCCATTTCCATAGATTTTAGATCGATCTATCCCTGTGGGGAGTCTCACTAGATTACTGTTAGCTTAGCCGGCTTAAGCGCCTACTGAAAGCTGTAAGAGGGTAATTAACTATGGTGCGCGCTCGGCTGACTGCAATTTAGCTTGAACCCCTAGGGAGTTAGGTCGATCTAAATCTTAATCCCTGGATCGATCTAAATCTCTGGGAATACACCCTAAGTATAACCAATGGTCCATTTAAGAAACGTGCAAAACAAGATACATTACCTCAATGTGTGTGTGGTTGACAGGACCCCGCCCGATTTTTTATTGAGGGGCCTCTCCCAGAGATACCTCAGGGGAGACCGTTTAGATGACCAATCCTGCCCCCCCCCCCCCCCCCCCCCCTCCCCGACGTTCCGTGTCATACTATGGGCTATTAGAAAAAGGATTTATAATAACATTTTGGGTTAAGCCTTATCTTGCCCAGCACGGGCGATCACTGGTCAAATATAATATCCCCTCGATCTCAAGTAAGCTGTTGGGTTATCAGTTCTTTTATTTTCTTTAATATATTTCTATTACATAAACCAAGGAGTTATAACTAAGCAGACATCCCATTCACCTTACATTGCAGTAACGCAGTAAAGGTGCATCTTATCATTGCCCTTTGCCTATATTCCTTGCCTTCTTCTCCGAAGTTTTTTCTTTGTTCCAAGGGGCTTGTGCCAAAATATTATCAGTTAGTCTAAGTGTTCTCGGCTTCAACATTTCTTCTACCTCGCCCGGCCCAAAAGGTTACAACTTCTTGCCCGGCCCCACATGCGGCTCGACAATACACTCGTTATATTTCAGGTACAGCTCGGCGACTCGTATTGTATCTATCACTGACTTCCCTTAACCAGGGTGTCAAATATTATAGGCACAGTTTTCACATCCCAAAAAAAGCAAATGACCATCAAAAGGGTAATAATCGACAGCCATGAGTGAATAAAGAGTGGTTTCGTATCTCCTAGCTTTTAACAATACTAAATGAAACTGAATCGACATTTTCTCATTTTTTGGCAAAGCAAAGGACTGTAATGTAAACAGGAAAGAAATCAATAAATGACGTGAAAGTATTTTACGGTATTGTATTTACTATCAACAAAAGATAAAGGCAACAGCTTTGGCTTTGATAAGACGTGCTCCGTGGACAACCCCATTCCGCAGCTTTATTTGTTTTCTAGTTGTTCAACCTGGTTTAGCTATGAAG